GCACAAAGGTGCAAAAGGTGCTAAACAATTTAAAATAATTCATTTTAAATAAAAATTCCATGCCGATTGTGCGGCTCATCCATCAGTCAGCCAATTGTGTTTCTTGTCCTATCTTATTTTGAAAAACCGTGATAGAGCGAGTCCTCGATAAACGAACCACGAAGTAGCGAGAGACTACTGTAAATACTTCTAATATTCACCCCTAAAATGCTGAGGACCAGATGTAATTGTACAATGTATCCAGCAGAGGTCGCATGAAGACTACTTTCAAGTCATGGCAGTTTAAGTTTCACTTTCCGCACAGACGAAGCAGGGAACAATACTGTGTAGCGTATTTTGTTGAACAGAGCGTGGTCAGTTTATCGTAACTGATCTGTAAAATAAAATTAAAATAAAAAATCAACAATAATAAATTCTCTTCAATCCTCCAACCTGCTTGTCATTGGCTATGCAACTCTGAAGTTAGCAAGCTAAAGTTTAGATAACCTAGCGTAGGTTTCTGCCTTGTAAAACTTTATCCAAAACAATAAATCTAACGTAGACGTAAATATATATCTGTGTTAGTAACGCAATCTTTATCATCTTCAATTAAATGCATTGTTTGTCCGAAATCTTAACTTTACAGCAAAGAAGCAAATAACACTGCTGCAGTCAATACTAATTAGGCCTTCACCATACATGATTAAACAATGAACAGGGAAGGGCGTTTCTTTGTTTAATTTATATTTATGTAACACACTTGATAACTTTATGCTGAAAAGTGGAGGAAAAAAATGTGATTGCACATTAGGAAGATTGTTTAAAGAATTTGTGTTAAATCAGATTTAAAAGTAGCTGTTTACTTCGATTCTTGGGGGTGGATAAAGCTCCAAAAATTTTCAGCAAAATATAGACTTATGCTTGAAGTATAGACTTTTTTTTTTTTTTTTTTGCTTTCTAATGTCAGCTGGCTGTGACAGCCATCTCAAAAAAGTAATTAGTTATCAAGGTAAATCAAGTGATTAATTTCCAGGGCTTTTATTAGAATATGTGTGATTATAAAGCCAATTCATCTCTAATAGAAAACCTTCATATTTCACAAACAAGTTGAAACATCAAATTAGAGGATCATCATAAAATATGAAAGGTAGCAAAAGGTTGCTGTTTTAAGATAAATGGACAATTTATACAATTATACTGACGAGATGTTAAGGTTGAAAAATAAACGTGAGTAATTGATAAACTACAAAGACATCAATTCTATGTTTCTCCAATGAAGCTACTGGTTGGATGATTATGCATGAAATGCATACAGTAGAAAAACATGCAGCAAACCACTGTGACCCAGTTTAAGAGGAATTTGCAAACCGGACAGCCTGGCTCTTCTTATCCTTGCATTTTTATTTTGGGTCACACTGTCACGTCACAGAATTCACAGTGAATCAAGTTATTCAAAGACATTTACGACTTGTGTTCATTTAAAAACGATTTCACAATAAAAACTAATATTTGAGCCAATACGAGGAAGAAATATCACACACGAGACAATTCGCGTCCTTTCTTTCAGCTCTACTTCCAAGTAAATAAACAGAGACGAGAAGGTCAAAGATGCCAAGAATGATTTATAAAGTACAGTATGCTGGCAGCTCTGACATATTTTAGCTTTAAAAATATTTAATTTTAGTTAAAACTTTACCGCTCAAAGCTATAATTGCTTGTTGCTTCAGAAAAACTTTATGTTAAATTATTTTTAAAAAGCCTTCAATAAAGAATTCACAATTTTAAAAAAAAATTATTTAAATACCTATAGTTTGTCCATTAAGTCTTCATTTCTTGTTGTTTGAACTGAGTAGTTTACTCTTTAGCGCCTCAGCATTATCATTCATGTTAAGGAGAAATTACTGCCTGTGTTATAATAATAATAATAATAATTAAATTTCGGCGTTATCTTTAGGATCACTGCACTTTCATTTGTGTTTTAATGAGCCAAACGATGCTGTGGGGTGATTCCGTGCCAGCAGGTCATAAAACAAAAGATTCTGCTCATGTAGCAGGGAAATGCTGATAACCTTTAGGCTGTGCTTTTTATAGACCTCTGCTCCTTCGCTCATAGCTGAGTGCATTAAAATATATTTAAAAGTTTCTTACTCATAAGTTAACCCAAAGAAGTTGGTCTGTAGGTTGTGATATCCATTTGTTTTTCAAACTCTGTGACTTTAAGTTGTCACATGAAGAGGAGTCTTTTAAGGCAGAGGAACACAATGACGTAGTGTTGTCTTTTTCGCCTTCCCACCCCCTGCACCCTAAACCAGTACCCACTGAGAGTTCTCACCCCCTCCACACCAGCACCACCACTCCATCCTGGGCCTGGGCCAAGCTGTGGATGAATGAGAAGCTCCTAAACAGTCTACTATGCTCGTTTGATGTGGAGCACTGAGGTTTCTCTGTGCACAAGGGAGCTGCTTGCAGCCCAAAACTAAAATATATAAACTGTTTAAAAAGTATCACGTGAAAAATATGCTAAATAAAACAAAGTGTCTCACAAATTTAATATATAGCCAATAAATAGATATTGGTTACTTCAAATTTTATTTCATTATAGTTGAAGGAACTAGTCAAATCAACAATGTTGAGTCAGGTCATCTGGACGGTTTCTTTTTATTTGCTGAGATGTTTCATCCTTCATCCAAAGGACTTCATCAGTCAGTTGAGTCACAAACAAGCTGATTCCCACAAGCAGCACAATCCCACAGTGAAAAAAAAAAAAAGAAAAGCAAACTGCAAAGCACAAGCAAACTTTTATTTATTTTTTCACTATGGGAGTGTGCTGCTTGTGGGATTCAGTTTGTTTGTGGCTCCTCAGGCTGATGAATTCCTTTGGATTAAGGACAAAACGTCTCAGCAAAAAAAAGTCCAGATGACCTGACTGAACATTGTTGGATTTTTTTTACCAGGATTATTGAGCATGGACTTTATGTTTTAAACCACTTTGGCATGGCTGCCTCAGAGGAGATGATGGAGGAGAGGGCGGGCCCCAGAAACCATCTTTTTTTTTTTTTCATTTATCCTTTATTTATAAAGGTAGTCTCATTGAGTCACGAGAACTCATTTTCAAGAGAGACCTGTTTTTGGGAGCAAATGGTGGGGGTTAAGGGCCTTGCTCAGGGGCCCAGGGTGGGGCAGATGTGGGTGTTTCACCTTTTCCACCCACATTTTGATGTTGACAATTCCGGGAGTTGAACCTGCAACTTTCCGATCACAGGATCATCTTCTCTAGCCTCTGCGCCACCACTCCCCCATCTTCTTACCACCAGCAAACTTTTTTTTTTTCACTGTGGGAGTGTGCTGCTTGTGGGAATCAGTTTCTGTGTGGTTCCTCAGTCTGATGAAGTCCTTTGGATGAAGGATGAAATGTCTCAGAAAAAAAAAAAAAAACGTACAGATGACCTGACTGAACTTTGTTTGATCTGTACCTAGATCATTGAGCATGAACTTTATGAACTTGTCAAACATTTTACATCACGTGTATCAACTTTATAAACAAACTAAATCAGGCGCCGTTTAATTTTAAACCAAAAGTGACAGAATATTGTATTTAAAGAACAGAAATAAGAGCGTGGAAGCTGTTACTTCTGCTCTCCCTAGTGATGAGGTTTAGCTGCTGCCTAAGTACCATATTTGTGGAAGCAACTTTCTGCATAAGGAAGATTAGTGTTGGTTGTTTAAAGGCTCGGGGGAGAAGATTTACCATTATTACCAGTGAAAAGAGTGAAAGCCAGGCACAATTTAATACCAGCACTTGCCAAGACCAGAAAATGTTAATTGAGCCAAGCCACATACCATATGGGAGGGATGAGGATGTGTGGGGGTCATGGAGAGAATGACAGAGATTAGCTGACCTTGGAGAGTGATAGATGATTGAGAGAGATTAAGAATAGGGAGCTCCGATGGGAACTGGTGATGGAGGGAGGTGGCGCTGGCCTAATAGCCTTTATAGTTATACAACACCACTTCCATGGAGCAATAAAGTATTCAGAAGTCAAATGAATTCTGAAATGTTCTGAGGTGCTGTGAGCATTAGGTGGAACAGGAAGTCCTGGGGCATAAATTTAAAAAAGGCCATTTTTGTGATGCAATCGAAAGGAAAAAGGAAAAGCATCAGAAAGCTTTCATTCTCTTGCAGACATTAGCTCACTGTTGTAAAAGTATGTCTGAGATCAAAGGTGTATGGAGAGAGACTTGTATTTCTTACTTAAGGCTAAAGGGATGTTTTTTACTATTTTCAAAACTTTATTGGACCTGCGCCCACTGTCCACTATTTGTTGTTAAAGACAACATTTGTTTGTACGTTGGTGTGTGCCAAAAAATATTATTTTGGCAAAAGGGTGTCTTTTTGGATGGATCTGCTGTCAAAACTTATTGTCTGTGTTCTGTTCTGTCTACATGGACAGAAAAAAGACAAAGAGAGACTCAGACATTGGCTGACTAAAGTGGATTAACTAAAAAAAGAAAGAAAGAAAGAAATGATACACTTGTTTCATTTGAACAAACCTCAACTGTCCTCAAAATCTTATATAAATAAGAGAAAATCCAGTAATAAAATTTAAAAACCATGCAGAATAATCACAGCAACAAAAGTAATCTCCATGGAACCAGCACCAAACTGTATTTAAATCATGGTAAATTCTGGCAACATGCGTTTGAAAAGAGCATTATTATAAGGAAAAAATGACAACACTGTATTTGAGGTTATGAGTACTAAATCTGACACTACAGGAAATAAAAAATTGGTTTAACAACAAGTTGTGATTAAAAGTACTAAGATATTTTCTTTCAATCACCGACAAAAACACTGTTATTAAACAAATGAGCATTAATCCACATATATTCATTATAAAATCACAAACTATCCTGTTTTGTTAAGACTTAAAATGAGAAATAACATGTGGTCAGATCATAAAATCGATCATGTGCATCATGAGCAAAGATGATGTGAAAACTCTGACATGTTGACAACTTACCAAGTCTCAGGACCTGCTGCAAAGTGAGCCAGAACTCTCCCATGAAGTACACCAGTGAAAACAGTCCCTTCCTTTTCACCATGGTCAGTCCTCCAAAGTCAAATCGAACATTGAGATTAAAGTTTGTTTGTATTTTCCTCAGTGATTCATGCTGATGACTCGCCAGTTCTTGTATCCTCAGCAAAAAGCAACTGGGATCCGACCCACATCCATCCCTCACACATTGTGTTGAGGCAAACAAAACAACAACAACAACAAAAATCCACTTGCAGTTGCCACCTAATGAAAGACCACCCAGTTTTCCATATTAAGGTCCTTTAAATGTCAGTAATCTGTTGCGTCCCATATTTATTCTCTTGACATCTTATCATGTTTTCCCAGTGCACACTTGAATAGTGAACTGAAGCTGAGGAGGAGGACTGTGCGCTGTGCTGCTTCTGTCAATTATGCAAGAACACAAAAACCCTTTCTGTGAACAGCTTTCAAAATAAGAGTTGGGAAACAAGAGACCATTTTTGACATTTAAATCCAAACAAATCATATTTCAAACCATTTCTGTGCAGCTTAACACAATCAAAACACATCAAAACATTGACATTTTTGCCACAGTATAGGAACTAGTAGCATGTGTATTTTTGTATATAAACTATTTTCTTACTAAATTTTAACTTTAATGTTAATTTTAATGTGGTTGAACACAAGTTAGTGTTTGTTGATTCTTCACTTGTGTTGTTTACTTAAATATAACCAAGAAATGACTTGTAATGTGTTCACGTACGGCTTTAATCATGTGAGAATTTCCAATACAAGATAATATTTTTACATCTACTGTACTCCCAATTCAGTTCTATCGTGTGACTGCTTTTATTGTGAAATCAAATGTTCTCATTTCTGGTATTACTAGCTGTGCCTTTGGCTGATTTGACATGGCTGATCACCCCCACCACTACCATAACCACATTCAGACGCTCAATCCAGGGCACAGCCAAGCTGCTGATCTCCAAACATGGATACGTCCTGAAGATTAACTTCAAATCTGCCAACATTCGACCTCGACAACGTCTTTACTTAGCTACACTGAGGACTGATTAAATCTTTGCTCCAGTCCTGATGAAAATGCAAATTTAATCTACAAACTGGTTGGTGATGCTCCCTTGCAGATTAACTATCTCAAACTGTTTAAATGACACTGTGTTTTAAATAACTTAACTCCACTTTGTTTTCTTCCTTTAGGTTTAGAATGGTAAGTTAGAGAAGAGTTTATTTGCACAAACAAGTAACTTTTAGCCATGTCTGGTGTTTCTCGGCTGAACAATTGTGCACGTCTTTTTTGATCCATTTGAGGCACTATAAGGTATACTAGTATAGAATATCCTGAATTAGTCCTTACAAAGAGAATTTTTATCAAAACTATTTCAGATGTTGTTAAAAATCAAGATGGTCAATATAGTTCTAGTCTTTATTTCTGTGTAGTTTAATGACTAAAGTATTTTTTCCTCCATCAATCCATCATGCTTGTTCCAAAGTGGCGTCACAGGGCAGCAGCTTGAGCAAGGAGGCCCAAATATCTCACCCATCCAGTTTTTCCTAAATATTCCTACATATAGTTTTTACCTGCAAAAATGTACTAAGTAATGAAATCAGTGGCACAAACTAGTATTTTAGAGTTTACAAGGTGAAGGCAGCAATAATAAACTGTGTACAGTAGTGCCTTAAATCTTGTTCTCTGGATCCATCTAGTGGTAAAAAAAAGAAACATGCCAAAAACATGCTTCTGACTTGGCATTTCTAAAAGTTTGATGTGTGATAAGATGGTTTTGTCATGCAGTAATCATCCATCCAACCCATTTTCTTTACCCAGTTCTTTCCGTGTCATGGAGGAGCTGGTGTCCATGTCCAGCTATCACTGTGCGAGGAGCCGGGTACACCCTGGACAGTCCATCACAGGACCACTTAGAGACAAATAAGACATAATATTCACACCCACACTAAGGAGCAATTTAGAGTTACTAAATAAACTAACGTATGTTTTTGGGCAGGAACTAAAGTACCCTGAGAAATCGCACATGTGCACCAAGACTGGGAGGCAAACCTGCAACCCTCCTGCTGTGATGACATCATTAGCTTCTGCTCTGCCACACCACCCTGCAATAATAATCATAACGGAAAATAATATAGCATAGGTTACAGCGAGGGGGGGGTCAAAATCAAGACAGCAATCCAAGATTTTTGGCTTGTCTGTTTATTTTGTTTCATTTATTTAATATGTGGTTTTTATTCAAACTCTTAAAGTATCACCTTTTTTTTTTATTATTATTACCCCTATTCTAAGGGAAAAGACAGCAAACAAAAGATATGGAAAAAATAATGCAAACCTAAATTTACTCATCAAAGTTCTTTTTTTTATTATAGATAAAACTACAAACTAAAAAACATTGATAACAAAAAGAAATTGTAAAAGCAATATATTGATATGATGTTAAATAACACTATACTATACAAATAAAGCATTAATAAGATAGTCGGTGAAAATCAATCGGTTTATCAAACCAATGATATGGTCACTCATAACACATGTGAAACACAATAAAATAAAATACAGTGATATGCAAAATCTATGACAACGATGTCATTTTCCACATTCCGGAGAAGTACCAGGGTTTCATGAAAAAACAAACAAAAAAAAACTACTCATCATTATTTCCACTAACAACAGATATTTTGTTTGTACCGAACACATCCCATATAATCTACAAGATGCAAAAAAGGTTAAATGTATCTTTAACAGTAATTTAATCTTAAAGCTTGTTGTGACTGAACAAAATAAACTTAATGTTTGTATGGGAAATGGTAAATGGACTATATATATATATATATATATATATATATATATATATATATATAGACACTCAAAGTGCTGTACATTACAATCAGTGCCCTCATTTAACCATTCATACAGCGCTCTACTGTACCTTTACAAAGAATAATCTTTATAATAATCACATTCATACAGAGCTGGGACACACGTCGGAGGCAATGAGGGGTTCAGTGTCTCGCCCAGCGACACTTCATGTGACTGCTGGTGGAACTGAATTGCAAGTTGGAGACCAGTTCCAAAACTTGAACTTCCTTCAGATGTACATCCCTCTGCTGCTCCCGCTGTAAGACTCTGGATGCTTTAATGAATCTTCATATGTTACAAAAATGGGAGTTTGTGGGTTGGGATGAAAACCAGACTGGTAGGATGCAGTGGGATTTCCAGTGTACGCTGTTGGATATGGAGTGGTGTTTTGGGTCATGTACAGCGAGTTGCCTGGAGTGTATATGCTCCCAGCGTGGTTAGAGCTCCTGACTGACGAATGATGGGCAAGGTTGCCTTGATAGATCAAAGACGCATTGTCCGGAGGACCAGTGCTGTAAATAATGGACGGATTGATCGGGGCTGCATTGCTTGTCATTACATATGGAACGTTTTGCAGCGGCATTACAAGTTGTTGTCCAGCGAAGTTATTGTTCTGTGGAAGATTCCGGTGCCCAGTTGACTGGATGCTGGGAACACTTGAAATGGGATGATAACTTGTCAGACCTGGTCCGCTGGATGTTGGTTTGTAGTTAAGTAATTTAAGAGGATGATAAACATCCAGATAGCCTTTGTCTTTGGGCATGCGTCGGCAGAGAAACAACAACGCTGAAGCAAACAGAAGAGCACCAGTCACCCAACCAATATAGAGAGCCTCTCCCAGCTCTCTCCTCTGGGCATCAATCAGCAAAGGATTGTAAAAATCTCTTATGATGACATGACCAGTCCACGATACAGGTATAAAGACACAGATACAGGCCAATAACTGCATAGCTCCTGCAACCAAGAGGATAATTGTTTTGGGCCATTTGTTACCTTGAAAGCAGGATATGCATTTCAGTCCTGCTAAAGCCACCAAGAGCCCCAAGCCCGACAAGGCCACAGAACAGCACATCAGACCCCTGGCAGCCTGCAGCTCAGGAGGCAGGTACAACAGGGAGTCATACACCTTGCACTGCATCCTGATGTTGGCCTGTCTGAAGCAGTTCATCCACAAGCCTTCCCAGCGAGTTTCCATCACAACAATGTTCTCTCCGATGAACGCCGTCACCTTCCACATGGGCATGCCAGTCGTAGCTGCCGCACCGATCAACCCCATCACGCCAACGCACATTGCAGCGATCTCAGAAACCCCTTGAATCATTGTTCGGTATCCAAAAGTTCTGTGACCAAGTTCCGAAATTATGTTAGTTCTCTTTCAGGAAAAAAATAAAATAAAATCCTGATCCTTAGCAAGTTTCAAAGAAAACTTGAATTAGTTCTGTGTCCAGTGCGATGAAGAGCTCCTCTCTGAGTTTGTTGGCTGTCAGAAGCAGTTTGTTATGGGAAATATTTGTTTCCCAGCTCCTGGTTGGCTCAGAGGTGCTCTGGTAAAGAGGACGTCTGCTTGTTTTGTGTTTATGGTTCGTCAGGGAATGGCGGTATTTCATCTGACATCACATTCTTCAGCAGTAAACACAAAAGGCAAGTTTATATCAGATGAAAAACTCAGAGCTCCACGTTTCTTTCCCTCTTTTTTTTTTAATCAATAGTTTTTATTTTCTGTAACTATATAAGATATAAAAGAAAGACAGTAATCTACACAGGCTATGATTGCAAAGCTCCTACAGTTTTCTGCATTTTCCACATGGGAGCAGAGATGAGCTTTTAACTGACAGGAGAGAGTTCACGTCACACAAAGTGCGCTGCATTTAATAAATGATGCCAGCTGGAAATGTTTATAATAATAACCTTTTTTTTATTTTGGTCAGTACACATTACATATTGTTGTTTTTGATGAAACGTTAACTTTTACAATTAAACAGATACATTTATTCTTATTCAACAAAGACAACAGTTACATCATTATGCTTTTCCGCAATGAAAAAAAACTAAAAGCTACATGTGCATAGAGTTGTTTTTTTTTTTTTTACTTTTTTTTTTTTTAAGATTATTGCATTTATTTAGAATTTGTAAAAAAAAAAAAAAAGTTAGGTCACATAAACTAATTTACTTCATTTTATTGTTGTTAAACATATGGATCAGGAATTAAAACGTAAATTTAATATTTAGGTCTTAACTCTTTGCATTTTAATTCAAAACAACTTGCAAATGTGGATCACATGATCCTGCGAGTTCCTGGAGTCTGTGAGGAGTAAACGTTCGGTCCACACCCGTAGCAAGCGAAGCAAAGTATGCTCTTTGTTTTGTTGTTGCAAGTTTTTAATCAGGCACTTCTGGCTCTAGCATAAACCATGACTCACAAATTAAACTTCATACAATTACCTGTAATGGTTGGTGTGAGTTTTAAATGCAGATATCTGAGGTAATCTAATACATTTAGTCTTATGAACAAGAAACTGAAATGTTTGAATCTAATGGATTCCAGGCACATGTTTAAGAAAACAGTTAACTTAAAAAAAAACAACACTGTCTTTAGAATTATAGTAAACACTTGCACCAAAAGTACCGAGAGTGAAAAATGCATGATAGATGTAGACAATACACACATTTACAACATTAATTCTTCCAAGTATAAACTCTGATTAGCATAGACGTTTTACTTTCTCATCATAGTACAGAATAAAATGTGATTGTTGTCATCTCATTCTGTTTACCTTTTAATCATAGGTTGGGATGAAGATATCTGAATATTGATATTAACAAAATAAAAGTACATTTTTTTTTAAAAAGTGCCATTTTTAAACTGTCTAAGCTATTTACTCTTATAAATATGAATGGTGAACTTGCAGTCCGGTGACAATACAAACGGAAAATGTGAAACTTTTTTTGCATATGATGACAATTATTGACAGTTTTTATAGATAAGCGACTCCGCCACTGCGAACAGAAGGGTATCTGGAGGGGTAGCTGTAAGCAATCGATGGATGTCTTGACAGGACTGGATGAGGTTCTGATCGAGGAATCAGCACCAGCTGTTGAGGCTGGAGAGGCTGTGGATGCTGAAAAGGCTGCGGGGTATAAACACTGTAGTCTGAATTTTTGGAGTACATGTACCTCTCCGGTTCTTTGTCTTCATTCTGTATATTGCAACAGGTAAACACGCATCCTCCAGCAAACAAGAAAGCAGAGGCCACCCAGCCGATGTAGAGAGCTTCTCCAAGCTCCCTGCGCTGGGCATCAATCAGCAGGGGGTTGTAGAAGTCCCTGATGATGACATGACCAGTCCAGGACACAGGAATGAGGACGCAGATGCAGGCCATTAGAATCAAGCATCCTGCAATAATCAGAACCACTCGCTTAGCTCGGTCATTGTTCACAATGCATGATGTGCACTGCATCCCGATCAAACTGACGAGCAACCCGATGCCTCCCAGAGCCACAGAGGCGCACATCAATCCTCTCGCTGCCTGCAGATCAGGCGAGAGGGCCAGGAGAGAGTCATAGACCTTACACTGCATCCTTATGTTGGCTTGCCGGAAGCAGTTCATCCACAAACCCTCATAGCGAATCTCCATGACGATGATATTCTCTCCAATGAAAGCTGTGACTCGCCACATCGGCATGCCGGTGCTTGCAGCTGCCCCAATCAGTCCAATCAGCGACAGTACAAGAGCCACTATCTCCAGTGCTGATTTGGCCATCCTGTCTTCATTTACTCGTCCGAGCTCAAAGGAACAGCGGTGGTTCAATTCAGTGTAGCTGTGGCTTGAAGCAAAGGGTTTCTCTTCTGCAGTGGTTTTTCATCCAGGTGAAAAGGGAGCAGGTTAATGTTTACCTGTGCAGCCTCTTCCCTGTGGATATTACAACGTTATGGGAAGGGGTGGGAATTTCAACCAGTTGCTAGGAAACTTAATCCTCTAGAGTTTTGTTTCCCTCTGCAAACCAACCCCAGGTGCTTCTGTTAACCACCACTTTGTTTATTCAGAGGTGTCAATTTACATTCTCAGATCCCAGTTTACTAGGAAGCTTTAAGAAAGGAAAGCATTTCTGCTGTAAAATATTAACATCACATTTTTAGACACATATTAACATTTTACTTGTAAATCCTTCAGATTGTTTAGATGTCAATCATTTATTTGGCTCACTCCTTTTTACTTCAAGTTTTAAATTATTCACTAGTTTTGTATTTGTGGTACAAGGTAAAATGACTGTTATAGAAATATTAATGCTCATTTCACAAAGTAGCATCCAAATGAATTTATTGAAGAACTATTTGTGGAAATGTTTGTGAAGCATTCACACAAACAGTTTTTGTGTGAATGCTTCATAAACACATTAAGTGGTTCATTTTTATTCCGTACATTTTTGACGCATTTCTCGTCCCGCAGTTTTGAAGATGTTTCAGCAAATCATAAATCTAAATGCTCAGCTGTTTCAATCCTGCTATTACTTTTGGTATTGGTGCAACTTTAGCTTTTGAAATATTTAGCCTTTTCTGCAATGTTTTTCTCATAGAAAATGAATTGAGCTCATTTTACATCCTTCAAATCTTCAGATGTGTTTACAAACTTTTACTGCTCCTTTCACATTTTGTTCTGGTTCAGCTTCTTTCAGCTTCCTTGTGCAAATAAAAACAAAACAAAAAAAACAGCTATTTTAAGCTAATTTCAACAATTTTTATTTTTCAGCTGTTTTGTGCTCCTTTAACATTTTTGTGCTTCTTCTAACTTCTTTCTACTAATTTCAACTTGTTATGCTCCTTTCAGCTTATTTCTGCAAGTTTCTGCTTTTTCAACTATTTCAGCTGTTTTTAGGCTAATTTAGATTTTTGTTTTCAGCTTATTCCACTTTTTTTTTTTGCTCTCATTCAAACTTTTTTTAGCCTAATTCATCAAAAATGTGCTCTCTCTACTTCCTTCTTGTAATTTCAACTTCTTTCTTATTTTAGCTACTTTTCTGCTTTTTTTTGTTGTTGCAAATTTCAACTTTTTTCAGATAATTTACACTTTTTGTGCTAATGTCTGCTTCTTTTAGCCCAATTGGGCAAACGTGTTCTTTCAGCTTTTTTCTGCTAGCTTAAGCATGTTTTATCTTTCCAGCTACCATTTTAAAAAAGTTTTAGCTAATTTCAGCTGTTTTCAGATGAATTTGCACAATAATCCTTAGCATCCAGTGCTTCAACAACGTCATTAAGAACCTTCAGTGAAGCAGTGGTTGTGCTGTGTTGTTTCCTGAAACCAGATTGATGTGGAGGTAAGATGTTAAATGAGTCCAGGTAATTTTTGATTTGAGAGTTTATCAGTTTTTCTAGAACCTTGGCTAAAATGCAGTTTAGAGATTGGTCGATAGTTGTTCAGTGATGTGGGGTCACCTCCCTTCAGTAAAGGAAGAACAAAGGCTGTTTTCCAAGTGTCTGGGATGGAGTTTTGTCTTATGGAGAGATTGAAGATGTGGGTCACAGGGACTGTGATGATATGAGCAGCCAGCCTTAAGAAATAAGGTGGAAGTTCATCTGGACCTGCAGATTTTTTAGGATCAAGATCTTTTAACAGTTTATTGACCTCACTGACTGAGAATGGAGAATGTGATTAACTGAGGATTGACTTGTAGGAGGGATTTGGTTTGTAGAAGTTTGATTAATAAGTGAAGTGGCTGATTTTCTGTTAGTAACTGTGTCAAATAAAGAACTAGAAGCAACAAAATGTTTGTTGAGACAGTTCAGGATCTCGTGCTTATTTGACACAGGAACAGAGTTAACGAGAAGTTGTGATGGGAGGTCAGAAGATTGGGGGGTGCCTGAAAGAGATTTGATGGTTTTCCAGAATCTGTTGGGGTCATTTAGATTTTTGGAGGTCTGAGATAAGAAATAGTTGCATTTTGCAGCTTTGACAGCAGTTGTACATTTATTCCTCATCTGTCGAAAACTCAACCAATCAGTGTCTGAGCCAGATTTTCTCGCTGCGGCCCAAAGATGATCTCTCCTGTGCAGGAGGTCAGCGAGCTCTGGAGTAAACCAGGGGCTGTCTCGTCCCTTTATTCTGAACTGATGAAAAGGAGCATGTTTGTTCACAAAATAAATGAAACTATTGTGAAAATAGTTCCAATATGTGTTCTTTCTTCTGCTATAATTTAGGCTTGAATTGATGGAGGCAATGAATATAAATCTTTTGTTACTTTTAATATTAAATTTGTCGAGATCTTTTGCGTCGGTTTTTATTTAAAATTGGAAGTTGCAGCTTTGGCTGCAATAGGCTTTTGTGTGACTTTATGGGTGACGATGGTTTTACTGGTTTCACCAGTTTAGTCACATTTCAGGTAACAAGAGTGCAGATAACATAACTTCCACCTGAGGGAAGTTTGGTGGAGTTTTGATAGAAACTTTAAAATCTCAAACAAACATAGGTTTTTTTTTTGTTTTTTGTTTTTTTTTCCAGACGAAAAATATTGAAACTCAAAAAAAAAAAGATCTCAAACCTCTTATCACTTATTTTTATTTGAAACACCAAATGAGATCACATTTTGGTGAGTGTTTTTGAAAAAGTACGTCCATTCATTACAAATGTTTAAAAGTAAACAGAAATCATCTAGTGGTTTGGATAGGTTTAATGTACAGTACAATGTTGTGCAAAATATGTGGTCAAAAGACAAACATCAAAAGTATTTTTAAAGTCAGGGTCACAATTACCGTACATGCTTTTGTATCGTTAAAGGTTGAAAATATGCACTTGTATAATGAAAAAAAAAAAGGACAATGGGAAATCAACACAGTTCCTCATGATTAAAACACAAACATATTCAGCATGTCTGTCTCAACAAAACACTTGGCCCTCTTTAAGAAAGCAATAAAACATCAAGCCTTTTCTAATCATCGCCTGATGGTGTCAGTTACTTGAGTCTTCTTATCATCTGAGCCTAAACTTGGCAGGTTTAAAAATCAAGTCCAAACAGTTGCCTAGTATTGAGTTGGTGTGTATGCTACAGATCCTGGTGGAGGTTCAGAGTACGGAGGTTGATAGGTGTATCCTGGTTGATAGGTGTATCCTGGTTGATAGGTGTGCGGCTGGTATGTGTTAGGAGGTTGGTAGAGGCTTCCATTAGTATATATGACTCTCTCATCTGAAATCTGGGTGCGAGGAGCATGGCGGCACAGGAGAATAATTCCAGCTGCAAAAAGCAGACCAGAAGTCATCCAACCGATGTACAGAGCCTCTCCGAGCTCTCTGCGCTGGGCGTCGATCAGAAGTGGGTTGTAGAAGTCCCTGATGATAACATGGCCAGTCCAGGACACAGGGATCAAGGTGGTAACGCATCCCATGAGAAAGAGGCAGCCTCCAGTCACGAGAACAATGTGCTTTGTCCGAGGACGACGGTCAACGACTTTGGTGCACTTCATGCCCACTGCCGTTACAATGAGTGCAAAGGACGTCAGAGCCACAGAGCTGCACATCAGTCCCCTAGAAGCTTGGAGTTCTGGTGGCAGATACAGCAGGGAATCGTACACTTTGCACTGCATCCGAATGTTGGCTTGTCTGAAGCAGTTCATCCACAAACCTTCCCAGCGGGTCTCCATCACAATGATGTTTTCTTGAATGAAAGCTGTTACCTTCCACATAGGCAAGCCTGTCACTGCTGCCACTCCGATCAGTCCAATGAAGCCGATGATAAGAGCCACAACCTCGCACCAAATTGCATTTTTACGTTTTTCTTTCTCAATTTTCTTTTTTTCTTCATACACAGAGTCTTGGTAGTCTGTGTAGTAGGTCTGAGGTTGCCTTCCGTCATAGGTCTGAGGTTGCCTTCCGTCATAGTAAGATTCAGCATAAGACATTGGTGGCTTGGTATAGCCACTGTAAGCTGTGTACGTGGCCATCCTTACCAACACAGAGAGCCGAAGATGTGCTGTTCGGCTGCACTCCTACAGCTTGAGAAACAAGTCTGAAGAAAAGAACAAGCAAAGAAACTTAAACACCCACAAAAATATGCTAATGATTCAAAACCTGTTTTGGCTTCCACATCCTCTCTGCATGTGACAGTACTGGTTAGTCTGCTCTACTGCTTTCAGAAAAATGTGGCTAAACCAAGGAGTGCTGATTGTTTTGTATGTAAATTAAATGGTTACTATTATCAGACAGACCTTTGGATTTGGAACTAAACCACCTTTTTAATCAAAAATACATAAAATTACTAAATAACGTCACAGCTGTTTCTTTAATATAGCTACTATCTTAACTGCAGAATGGTATTTTTTTTTCTATCAAGTAAAGAATTGAATGTGTTTTAGACAAACAACAGGATAGAAAAACAATATTGTCTGTCATAAATGGATCTATCTTAGCGTAAGAATGAACTGAATGGCTAATTTTTGGTACATAGTATTTTTAAACACAAATACATGTCTAAAAATGTATTTTTAGGCACAAAATGCAGGTAGTGCATCTGTTGTTTACAAGCTGAGAGCTGATGCTCACAGCTTATGTCTGAAGTAAGTTGATCAGTAGGTGTTAAAAGCAGAAACTGGAGGAGGATTGGGTTTTTTGTCAGTAATTCTCACTGTGTTGCTGCCGTACTGAAGTGTTTCTAACATCTTCATCATGACAGCTGCGTGTAGTTGCATATAATAAGTTAACAACATTACATTTTATTGTTTGGCACTAAATTTTATTTGTGAAAACAAACAGCAAAAAAACAAAAAAAAAACAATAGAGGTGTCTGGAGTACTTTGTTGAGTTGGTTTATTATAAATTAGTTTGGGCACTGTAGAATTATATAAGCAGCCTTTTGTGCAAAAAAAATATCATTCTGCAATAGTCAGTTTATTAACAATATGTTGTTAATTGTAAAAATATACACAGTAAATTTATTTGATTGATGTGAATAGTTTGTACAATGATACCAGAACAAAATCACAGAAATAAAGCAAAAAAAATCAAATGTCAGGGCCAAACCGAAGATATGTTGCCTCCATGTAAAAACACTGACATCATCAATAAATAAATACATATTGTGCACATACTATAATAACTAACTATAATAATTTGGATTAATGTTTACAGACTGAACCTGATGAACATCTGAGAAATGAGACATTCTTATTACAAATAGTACAGGAGTCAGTAAAATAGTTGTTACAAGAGTATTACCCGGATTAGCTTGTGATTAACTTATGCAGCATCTTTGGGTTTTCAGAGACAATCGCTGGTAACACGGAACAGTTATTTAAACATATTCTTTCTGCTTGTGCAGGCTGGATTCTGTTTTCGGATGGTAGACAGTGTCCTGTTTTGGAACGTTCTTTTCTTCCATAAGATAGGCTTGATTGTAGAGCTGTTCCTCCTCCGGTCTACGTTTGTCGTATCTGACCAGGAGGATGATTCCAGTGGTCAGCAAAATGCCAGAAGTTGCCCAGCCGATATAGAGAGCCCGTCCAAGCTCACGTTTTTGAGCTTCATGAACTACTACGTTATAGAACTGGCTGATAATTGAATGTCCCACCCAACTAACGGGGATGAGTGTGGTCAAAAAGGAGACCAGATACAAACTTCCCGCTATGGCCAGAGTCATATTTTTGCTTCTCATATTGTCACCACACCAGTTGGTCCTCTTGATCCCCAAAACTGTGACAACCAAAGAGACGAAAACCAGGACTACTGAAGCACACATGAGGCCCCTGGCAGCTTGCAGCTCTGCAGGGAGAATCAGCAGTGAGTCGTAGACCTTACACTGCATGTTGATGTCAATCTGCCTGTAGCAAGTCATCCACAGGCCTTCCCAGAGTTCCTCCATAACAATGAGGTTGGCCCCAATGAAAGCGGACACCTTCCAGGTGGGAAGTGCAGTGACAGTAATTGTCCCACACAGGCCTATGAATCCCAGGACCAGAGCCAATACTTCCAGCTTTGCTTTCATGGCTTGAAGAAAGAAGAACAGTCTCGCCTTGCGTTGTCTCTTTTCGTCAAGTGCAGACACTGCCCAGCCTGCCCGTTCCGTTTCGTACATAGATCTAAATATAAGAATGTGCTGCAATGCATGTAATGCCATCCTACTGGTTTGGAAGACCAATCTTTATTAAAACAGTGCTTTTGGTACAAGCCAAGGAAACTGCACTGCATTTTTCTTCCATCTATCTCTAAAAAACAATAGGGCATCACACACCTGTCATCACTGCTTGTCATGCCTAACACATAATGTAGTTTCACTTATTACAAACTGACTGACATACCATGTGCAAGTGTTGTTAGTTGTAATCTAGGGTCCTTAAATGTCCTGGGATTTTCTGTATTACTTTATACCATACCATACCATACCATACCGTACCATACCATACCACTTTATTTATAAAACACTTAGAAACAGCAACATGGCCAACCAACGTGCTGTACATCAAAAACATACAAGCAAAGAATACCTAGATATATAATTAATATATTTTATACCTAGACTGATCATGAGATGACTGCTAAAGATTATGTGACATACTGTATTTTTTAACCACTAACAGCTGTAATTCTTGTTAAAAGAACAGAAGATAAAGGAATTGGATTTACTTTTTTTGTGAACTAAATTATCTTACAATTTCACTTTGACTTTAAAAGGTGTGGTCATCTTACATCACACTCCAAAGCTTTGTTTTGTCACAGCACGACATGATTCCACCCCCCCCCCCCCCAGCAACAATATTTTGAATATATTTTTATCATTTGTTTTTTAACAAATATGCTAATGTCTATTTTGTCAAGATGTGTTGTGACCATTTGGTGTTTTATCATCTACTATTGATTCAATGTACTAAAACCCAATATTTCTTGCTCCATTCACCCTCTGTTAAAATGTCTCGACGACATAAAGGCATGGATGGCTTCAAATTTTTTACGTTTTAACCATCAGAAAACTGAAGTTATTGTGTTTAGACCCAGCTCTACTGCAGTCTCTGTTCCTGTAAACCTGGACTCTCTTGAACCATACCTTAAGCAGTCCGTTACAAATTTCGGGATGGTTTTAGACACTGATTTTAAGTTTAATACAGTAAACTGATTAACTGTTTTGCAGAAAATCATTCCAGTTAATGCAGATAGCTCACTTAAGTCCGTGTTGACCAGATCTGACCTTGAAAAAATAGTCCATGCCTTCATTATGATCTGACTTGATTACTGTAACACACTTTATGTCGAGGTCAGTCAGGTCTCCCTTTCACATCTCCAGCTCGTCCAGAATGCTGCAGCTCGACTCTTAACAGAAATTCATAGGTTTGAGCATATTTCACCAGTTTTATCCTCCCTTCACTGGCTCTCTGTATGTCACAGAATAAATTTTAAAATTCTCGTGCTAACCTTTAAGTGCCTAAATGTCCTTGCACCCTCATTTCTCTCTAGTCTACTTCAACCATTTCTCGGGTGCTGAGATCATCTGATCATCTGCTTTTGGTTGTACCAAAAACCATGAAGCTCAGAGGAGATCGGGCCTTTTCAGTCATTCCCCCTTTGGAACAATCTGCACGTGAACAAACAATATTAGACAGACCACTTCACTTCCATGCATCCATCCATCCATTATCTTTTACCCGCTTCTTCCATTTTGGGTCATGGGGGTCGCCGGAGCCCATGTCTAGTGATCACTGTGCGAGGGGCGGGGTATACACTGGACAGGTCGCAAGTCCATCACAGGGATCCATCCATTCATCCATTATCTTTACCCACTTCTTCCTTTTTGGGTCATGGGGGTCACTTCATGGTGCCCGTATCCAGCTATTACTATGCAGGGGACGGGGTATCCCTGGGCGGGTCGTAAGTCCATCCCAGGGACATATAGAGACAAATGAGACAAACAACCATTCACTCTCTCACTCACACCTAGGGACTATTTAGAGTTACCAATCAGCCTAACATGCATGTTTTTGGTCTGTGGGAGGAAACCAGAGTACCCGGAGAAAACCCACGCATGCACGAAGAGAACATGCAAACCCCATCCAGAAAGGCCCCTGGACCAGGATTTGAACCAGGGACCTGCTCGCTGAGAGGCAGCAGCTTTACCAGTTACCACTTCACTTCCTGTTTTTAAATCTCTTTTAAAAACACATCCTTTAGACTTTTAACCCATTGTGAGTTGTTTTAGTATTTTATTGTTTTTTTATTGGGGAGTGGTGGTGCAGAGGTTAAAAGATGGGCCTGTGAGCAGAAAGTTGCAGGTTCAACTCCCTGTACCATCAACATCAGAATGTGGGTGGAAAAGGTGGAACACCCACACCTCCCTCCACCCTCACTCGCCCCACTCTGGGCCCCTGAGCAACCCCCACCATCTGCTCCCTAAACAGGTCTCTCTTGAAAACAAGTTCTCATGGCTCAATGAGACTATTTGTATAAATAAAGGGTAAATAAAATTGTTTTGTTTTTATTTTAATGCTTTTAATTAATTTTTGTATTTTATTTGCATTACTGCCATTGGCGGCACGGTGGCTCAGTTGGTAGAGCTGCTGCCTTTCAGTGAGCAGGTTACCCTGGTTCAAATCCTGGTCCGGGGGCCTTTCTGGATGGAGTTTGCATGTTCACTCCATGCATGCGTGGGTTTTCTCCGTGTACTCCAGTTTCCTCCCACAGACCAAAAACATGCATGTTAGTCTGATTGGTAACTCTAAATAGTCCCTAGGTGTGAGTGAGAGAGTGAATGATTGCTTGTCTTGTTTGTCTCTATATGTCCCTGGGATGGACTTACGACCTGCCCAGGGATACCCCGCCCCCTGCACAGTAATAGCTGGATACGGGCACCATGAAGTGACCCCCATGACCCAAAAAGGAATAAGCAGGTAAAGATAATGGATGGCTTACTGCCATTGTTTTTTATTGCTCAGCACTTTGGGAACAGCTGCTATTTTTAAATGTGCTTTATAAATAAATTTAATTTTTTCTTCACAAGTCATTAAGACTGATTTTTAGACACTTAGAAGAGCTGTGTACTTTTAAAACAGACTGTCATGCACTTTTATGGTTTCAGACGTTTATCTTCAGAATGTATCGTCAGTAGTTGAGGAAGAATCTAGATGCAGTCATCTCACATTCTGAAACTGCCCGGCTAGATGACGCCACCAGTGAGAGTCCTGAAGCACTTCCACCATCCTAAACCTGAGCCTTTAAATCCAAGCATTATTAATTGGTCTTCAAAGTAGATAACCTCCCACAAATAAGATCCTTAAACAAGTTTCAAGTATGGTCTGACTTCAAAACAACGGCTGCTTTCAGAGTAGGTCAGAACAGCCACTCCTGCAATGCAACACCTTACTGATCAACAGGTTTCTGGGAAGAAGGAGTGAAAACAAACATAAAGGGCAGCTCGGAGAGAGAAGGATGTACCAGAGGTCATAAAACAGGAACAGAAACTGAAAAACCTGTAGAGCAGGGTTTTGGTGACTGATACTGTCGTCACATTTCGAGCTGCTTTGAATGAATACAGATAAGCAACAAAGGTGAAGCTTCTAACAGTTGTGTCTTAAACTTATTTTAGTTGCTGAAATTGAACTGGGTTTGTTGTAAACTTCAATTTTATAAAACTGAAATCATATTATAATAACTAAATACAAAGTCTTAGTATTAGTGTAAAATAAATACAGGAAATGTGTGGTAGACTCAATGCGCCACCTGCTGTCTGCAAATATAATTACATGTTCACATCTTTTTAAATGTTGACTTGCAACAAATTCTAATAATATACTTTTAGTTTTGTTGCCGACTGGAATGTCTAATAATCTTTAAAGCACATAAAATAAAATGGTCTTCAGTGCTGTAATGCTTTTGGTAAGAGGTGATAAGTGATTTTAAAGTGAAGATGTTACAAAAAAAAAATTGTATTAAACTGATCTGAAATACATTTTCCCTTCATCTGAAGGGGAAAACACTGTTAGTGTTGCACAGTAATGATGTGAATTAAACAGAGTCTCGACTACTAAAGATGAGCTAATAATAGGGCCTGAAGCAACTGTTTTTAATTTAAAGGGCATGTTCAGCTGGGTGAAGCCTGGGGCCTTTCTGGGTGGAGTTTGGTGTTCACTCTGTCCCTGAAACCAGTACTTGTCACCTTGCACTCAACTTCTTAAATAAAGTTATATATTTTATTCAGCTTCTTTAAATCATATTACACTTCTCAAGACAAAAAGCTGCCCAGTGCAGTGAAACACTATTCAGTATGTCAGATAGTCTCTGGAAGTTTTGTTTACTAGTACAAACATGTCATTTTTAATGGATGTATTTTAAACACAAAATTAACTACACAAATATATGAATATTAGATAAATATGAACATCTCATGTCCAATCAATCAATCAATGTATTCACTGGATTCAACAAATCAGTTTACAAACACATTTTTTGGCAACACTTACTAGTGAAGAGTGAGCAGGAAGAAGCTAATCTTGTATAGACCCGCCCCCTTTCTCAATAATTACAAAAATTTAAATTTTAGATCTATAGACATTATAATAGAATCATCTATTTTTCTGTTACCAAAAATCATGAATTTTGTTTTATTCCAGTTCATAGATAATTGGTTGTATTTGAACCACTCATTAAGTTTAGACATGTTGACAAAAGGTACTATATACTGGCATTAATGGTCTTTATATTTAAGTATTTTGACATAACAGTGTTTAAATCACCTGCACTTTACCTCTCAATGACTATGATGAAATTTAAAAGATAAAAATAGTGTTAATTAAAATAAATCACTCAAAGAAAGTAATGAGAGGAAAAAGGTCACCTTTAATTCAGGGAAGAAAAGGGTTTTCAGCGATTTATTGCAGAGTTGTTTTTTTGTTTTGTTATATTTTTCTTCCAGTTTTAGTCATTTATAACCATGCATAAGGTCACATTTTGTCCTTAATGTTCAATTATTTATTCTTCAGTCTATGAATCTCTTTTCAGTGT